CAGGTAAGTCATATAACATATGTCACTGATCTTTATCAGATAAGTTATATAACTTTAAACTATGTCACTAATCTTTATCAGATAAATCATAACTTTAAACTATGTCACTAATCTTTATCAGATAAGTTATATAACTTTAAACTATGTCACTAATCTTTAATGTATAAAACACACTGACTACAGCATTAAATCAAAAGTGAACAGCAATCAGTACAAAAAAATCATTCATCCAAGTGTAAACAATTTTTCTTATAAATAAACAAATGTGTTCAGTTCTTCACCAGAGTGGCAACATTCTTTTGAAAGTGTGTTCTTTTAAATAATACTTCCACCTTTCCTTATTAATTAACACATTATAAAAACTTCAAAACACACACACTTACTTCAAACTACAGTACTACAAACAGTGTCACAGTAGCCTGATGGTAGATAATATAAAGTTGATTTTGAATTTTTGAAAGAATATTTGGACTAATGTATCATCAAGTATAAAGAATGAGTAATTAGCATCAGATAAAATAATGTAGTGATTGTCACAGATTATGTTAACAATGTACCAATAACTGGCATACTTATGCAGCATTATGTACATGTGCACATTCCAAGTTAAAAAACAAAAGGAGAGAATAATTAAGAAAAAAATGGGAATGGTTCTAGGTTTGTGTTCATCCTCTGTTAGTCCAAAGATCAAAGTAAAAAAATGATGGCAAGAAACAAATAAAAGAAAGATAAAACAAAAACAGTAAAAATATGAAACACAAAAACAAACCTTATCATGTTTGTATAGCAGATGTCTTTCATTTAGATGAGGGGAGAGACTATGGCACTTGGGTTTTGTTACTTTTGCTTCCTTGACTTTGACCCTTGCTTCAGACACTCCTGTCCTAACTACAAAGCTCTCAGGAAGATCACCATTTATCATAATTTCTTCTGTTTCCTAGGCAACATGCTCTCCATTAAAGTTAACTTTACCTTCAGATCATCATATCTACATACTTGTCAGATCACAGTAAATAAAATATATAAAGGGGTTCTTCAGATGTACAAATACAGCTCAAATTTTAAATCTAGGTTAAATGTCTATAGATAAGGGTTGGATCAACAACATTTTGAAGTCATGTAAATCTAGGTTAAATGTCTATAAATAAGAGTTGGATCAACAACATTTTGAAGTCATGTAAATCTAGGTTAAATATCTATAGATAAGAGTTGGATCAACAACATTTTGAAGTCATGTAAATAAATCTAGGTTAAATGTCTATAAATAAGAGTTGGATCAACAACATATTGAAGTCATGTAAATCTAGGTTAAATGTCTATAGATAAGGGTTGAATCAACAACATTTTGAAGTCATGTAAATCTAGGTTAAATGTCTATAAATAAGGGTTGAATCAACAACATTTTGTAGTCTTGCAAACCTACGTGAAATGTCTATACATAAAAAGTTGGATCAACAAGATCCTGAAACCAAATTGTGAAGTGATTTATTTTAAAATCAACATAAGTTTAGAAGTAGTTGTGCCAAAAATGTTTTCAATGATCAACAAGTAACTTATTAACTGTGGAATAAAATTATGTTTGTTTGGGAAGAAAACTAAAGGATACATGGGTTTTTGAAGAGATGACATATTGTGTTTATTTGTAATTTAAGGAGGGGGAGGAAGAGAGATTCAGTAGCATTATTCAATGCATAATGTAGGGTAGAAAGAATAGAGAAATTTAACAATGTCATGTTGAATTTGTGTCAGCCTATTGGATATACAAGACCGTTTAGTGTAAGCATTATTATTTAATTTATTTTGTGACATAATATTTAATGATTTTTTTAGTTTTCATCATAGGAACATTGAAGTTTGATTGTTTAAGAAGCGTTAGTTATGACAAATTTTGTTACATAACTCTGTACAAGTCGTATGTTGTGTATGCAGTTAGATTGTTGTACTGGGCTTTAGTAATATTGTTGCTACCACGTTACTCAAATCTCTGGTATTTTTCTTGTTACCTTAAGTGAGTATTGTTACATTATAGTGTTGCTTGTGTAGTTTATAGAAATTGAGGCTTCAGTGAACAACGTATAAATAAAAGGGAGTGCAAGTAAAGTAAAAGTTCAGTCAGAAAAAAGTTAGCCAGCTTGTGAGTGATTAGCCATAATAGGCAATATTTTCAAGTGAGTTTCACAGTTTAATAGAGATAAGGAGAATAATTTGTACTTTCAAAGAGTGTTATAAAGTAATTGAACCCACCTGTGTGGACTTTGATGAAAATGAGATAATTAATTAAGGTTTAGGATACAGCTGTGGTAACCCATAGGGTAACATAAGTGAATTATTCACTGATACTACTGTGATAAGAGTAGAGAAAAATAATTTGTCTTGTCAATTGGATTCTAAAGTAATTTAATCAGCCTGTGTGGAATTTTGACAAGAAAAGAGAATTATTTAGAGTTTTAGATAAAACTGTGATATCCCATAGTGTAAAGAATTTTTATATATACGTTTGACTTGTTTTGAATATTTTTTAAAACAAGTGGATCGTGTGCTGTTCGTTTATTGATAACATTTATCGCCAACAAGTCACAGACACCTACTGTATAAGAATCCTCAGCTCACTCATATTTAAAACCCTGACATAGCCACATCATTACAGTAGTGTGTTCAGGTTGACTAGATCAATCTCAAATAAACCATTTTGGTTAGTTTTAGTATTAGGCATTAAATATTTATATAGATGTTATTTACATATACACTAATTACAAAAAAACAACAAAGATCGTGCTGAAAATTCTTGTGTTAGCAATAAAAATTCAAACATAGAATGTAAAACTTATAATATGTAGTGAAATGTTAATACATAGTTGATGCTGACACTTGAAATGTAACAAGTTCAAAACAAAACTTGTGCAAAAGAAAATAGGAATACTAAAACAAACAAGTTTCATGGTAACATAGAAAAAATTAACAAAAATACATCCAAACATTGAAAAGCCAACAATGAAAGCAAAAATTAAAGAAAAAATATATTCTGAAAACTGAAATACAAAAGACTTATTTTAAAATCTTGGTCATTAACACAAAACATGTTTTTTTAAACATTAAATACATCTTTCTTTTTAAAAACATTAATTAGTAGCTTGTGCTAATTAATGCAAGACCATCAGTACTGTTAATTAATTAACTAGGTTTTAGTTTCATTAAACATAAACACGTGGGTTTAAAAATTTTAAGGTCTAAAAGATATGACAGTTTTCAGTTAAATATCTAGTAGGAAAGAAAAAAAGGGGAGCCTCCAGTGCTAATTCAAAACAAAGATTGTTTCTCACTGAATTGGATGGATTCATGGGGTCAAAGTGCAAGCTGGCATGTAATTTCAGAATTAGATAGATTTACAGGATCACAGTGCAAGTTTGTATGTGTTTTAGGATTTAGCTGGATTCACAGTGTAAGTTTGCACAGTCTTAGGATTTAGCTGGATTCACAGTGTAAGTTTGCACAGTCTTAAGATTTAGCTGGATTCACACAGTAAGTGTCTTAGGAGTTAATGGCAGTTGCAGTATAAGTTTGCACAGTCTTAGGAGTTAGCTGGATACACGGTGCAAGTTTGTATGTGTTTTAGGATTTAGCTGGATTCACAGTGTAAGTTTGCACAGTCTTAGGATTTAGCTGGATTCACAGTGTAAGTTTGCACATGTCTTTGGAGTTAATGGGAGTTGCAGGATAAGTTTGCACAGTCTTAGGATGTAGCTGGACTCGCAGTAAGTTTGCAAGTGCCTTAGGAGTTAATGGGAGTTGCAGTGTAAGTTTGCACTTGTCTTAGGAGTTATCTTTATTCATAATGTAAGTTTGCACTTGTCTTAGGAGTTATCTTTATTCATAACATAAGTTTGCACATGTCTTAGGATTTAGCTGGATTCACAAAGTACATTTGCATGTGTCTTAGGAGTTAGCTGGATCTACAAGAAAGTTTGCAAGTGTCTTAGGATTTAGCTGGATACACGGTGTAAGTTTGCATGTGTCTTAGGATTTAGCTGGATTACGGTGTAAGTTTGCATGTGTCTTAGGATTTAGCTGGATACACGGTGTAAGTTTGCATGTGTCTTAGGATTTAGCTGGATTCACAGTGTAAGTTTGCACGTGTCTTAGGATTTAGCGGGATTCACAGTGTAAGTTTGCAAGTGTCTTTGGAGTTAATGGGAGTTGCAGTATAAGTTTGCACAGTCTTAAGATTTAGTTGGATTCACACAGTAAGTTTGCAAATGTCCTAGGAGTTAATGGGAGTTGTAGTGTAAGTTTGCATGTGTCTTAGGAGTTAGCTGGATTCACAATGTAAGTTTGCATGTGTCTTAGGATTTAGCTGGATTCACAATGTAAGTTTTCACACGCCTTAGGAGTTAGCTGGATTCACAATATAAGTTTGCACAAACAAGTTATTCCAAGAATTCTTTATTTAGGTTGTATTCTGATGTCACACGAGGACCTGGTATGTGATATGAAACCTCCTATCCAGACACGCTTCAAAAGAAACCACAGTGTTCTATAATTGCAACTAAAAAGAGTTAACATTCTATAAAAAACTAATGCACATCATCTTTTACTGAAATTATCCCAAACTGGGTAAATTCGGAGCATGTATAACAGAATATAATTTGTTGAATGTAATAGTCAGGTCGTGTTTTCTCAGTGAATTTACGTGAAAAAAAGGCAAAATTAAAACCCGAATTCAGAAAAGTGGGGGAAAAAAAATCAAATAAACCTTAAAATCATAAACAATATTCAACGTTAAAACTGGTACACAATTAAAAACATATTATTTAGGCCTATCCATGGCCATCAAAAAGTTGACGACTCTACACGTTTCAACGTCATCTTCGTGTAGAGTCGTCAACTTTTTGAAGGCCATAGATAGGCCTAAATAAAATGTTTTTAACTGTGTACCAGTTTTAACGTTGAATATTATTTATGATTTTATCTTCATACACAAGTGCCAAAAATATAGTAATCAAATAAACCTTGTTTTAATCCAATTACAGATGACTCTTACTTACTTTGTTTTCAACTACTGGTTCTTCTGATCCTTCTCTGCCATTTTCTTGGAGTTTCAAAGCATAGTTCCGAGCATGTTTAGCATGGGCTTTCAATTCCTTAGGATAAGGTGTAGGGGCTCGCACTAATTTACCCTTCACAAAAATATAACCAATTAAAACTCTATAAGTATGAATATTTAAACAGAGCGACAGATGACAATTCTAAAACTTGTACTATCTTGCTGCTGCTTCTTCATTAAAACTTAAACATTTGGAAAAATTGACTAGTCTTCTAAATACCAGTGTTTATAGACAAACTTTCAACCATGAAACACAAGAAAAACACATCTACACAAGTTGAATCATTGATAAACTGATACTTAAAGCTGATGTTATCAAACAAAGAATCTCTGTTTGATACCACTACTTACAGTTTTAGTATCATGGCATATCACATGGGTTGAAGCATCTAATACACAGGAAAAGGAGGGGTTTTAGAACACTAGATGTGTATTAAAGAAATGCTGGTAGGTGTGAAAAAGAATTCACACCACTAGAAAGGCAAGGTTTTAGGACACTAGATGTGTATTAAAGAAATGCTAACTTAAGCAGAACAAAAGATACACAATGTTGCATAGTGTGCAATGCTGGCTTACCAGACATCCAAGTCTTAGATGATTAAAGTAATAGAACCTTGGAGTGAAGGTTACACTAAAAATAGATTGTCTGCAGTATTATGTTTAACACCTTTGCTGCAGGCATGTTAAAGAGTGAATGTTGTGAACACTTTTGCTGCGGACATGTTAAAGAGTGCATGTCATGACCTTTTAGAGTTATTTTCAATGGAATTGACATCAAAGTGCAGTTTATAATTCGAATTTTGATATTAGATGTTTAAATTTCTTAATTTAAAAGGATACATAAAGAAAAAAAGGCTAAATATCAATTTTGGTTTGTCACATATCACCTCCTATTGTGTTATTGCTCAGTTAATATGTTATTACACTTACCATACAATGGCTAACAAATTAGAATCTCAAAGTTGAGACATAGACAAGCTAGAATATAAAATAAGAACCTCCCACCTCTTTGATTTACTGTGATGTTAATATATTTAGCCAATATAGTAGAGTGGCTCCTCCCACTAATCCATTCTTTTTAAACCTCTTGTCTAGTCCCTTCTAGAACCTCCCACCTCTTTGATTTGCTGTGATGTTAGTATATTTAGCCAATGTAGTAGAGTGGCTCCTCCCACTAATCCATTCTTTTTAAACCTCTTGTCTAGTCCCATTTACTTCTTTTAACTAAGCGTTTACTACCAATAGAAAGAGCCGTTTCCTGTGTACGTAAATAGCTTGATGGAGAAAGCTCTAATTTTACAGAAACTGTTGAAGTATGATGACTAGGTTGTTGTTCTGAGCATATATGAAATGTTTTTAAAGTCATATACACCTTGTTTAGAAACCCAGATAAATTACAGGGGTTTTGGGTGCACTAATATATTTGAAGCTCCAAAAATTAATATCTCTTCACTCCCCACTCAGAAGAATAAATAAGGCTTAGCACATATGGTGCATGAGCACAAAATCTTTGTTCTCCAATTTATTTTTTATTTATTCTTCTATGCTTTAATAAAAATGGCTAAAATTTAAGCATCTCTGAATAAAGAGTATTTATTGGCTAATGAATAAGTTTGCTGAAAGAGAAATAGGATTATATAATATCTTTGGTATACTACTAAATTACAAACATCACAGAAGAATAACCAGTACTCAAACACTAGCAATGTTTATTGGATCGGCTCCGAACCATATAAAAAAACATTTTCACAGATTCAAAGTGCAATATTATTACTCTGGGGAATTCTCATTGTAAACACTGTAGGATACTTAAGCTGATAAATTCCACATCTTGTTCTCAGAGCAGGGGTCAAGTCAGCTTATTTCTTTGCTGCTCTTGGGATATCATATTGCAGTGTCACATATACAGTATAATGACACAAGTGGTGATTTGTTGCTCTTGGGATATCATATTGCAGTGTCACATATACAGTATAATGACACAAGTGGTGATTTGTTGCTTTATTTTGAGCGGATTTCTACTTCAGTTATTGACAATAAAATAAACACAGAAAATAAATGTGAAATGTTTAGCAGTTCAAACTCTCAAGAGAAATTTCATGACCAATAATAAAGAACACAGACGTTCATTTTATTTCTAATTTTACAACTTTTTATCATACTTTAAACAGTCTAGTTGATAAAGTTTTTATGGAATAAAATGACACATTATACCCCAAGATAATAGTAGTTTAAGTATTTGTACTTCTACAGCTGTATTCAGACAGTTTTATAACATTTTAACTCTCAGCACGGGGTCGGTCAAATTGACCAACCTTGTAACCAGTTTGTACTCATTACAGTTTTCATACTACAACTTTTAATACAGTATGTTTATCTTCACAAAATATGGCAGACTTTTAGTAAACATTACATGTTGTTTTTACACAAAAAGGCAGTTTTGTAAATAAAGTATTTTTACTAAAGATTTGTCCATGAATATATCAAGTCTTTTTTTTTAGACTAGTCCAAGTGCAAAGTGAATTTTAAACTAAGATTAGAAATACTTTTCTTTGTCTCAAAAATCTCAAATTTCATTTGTGTAACTTTTTTTTTCCAGTAAAACTATATTTTATTTGTTATTACCTTTACCCTAACAATATATTTGATTCTTCAGCCAGTAGACAAATCATCCATGCCAAAATCTGCAAAAGTAAAAATCACCTAAACTATCAGAATGTAAAGGCTGTGATATAACCTGGAAATAAAAAATCAGAATGGTTGACATCTCTGTAGAATTAAACAAAATTTAAAATGAAAGAACAATTATTTGAACTTACAGGTTGATCCACTGCTATGTCTGAGGAAAACTTTATTTGCTGTCTTGCCTCTTTATCGATGTTGCTAACATCTTTACCACTGCCATGATCTACTGAAAAAAACAAAAATGTATTCACTCAGTCTACAAACCTGAATGGGGAAAAAAAACAACCTATTTAATATACTTTTTTTGGTGTTTCAGAATATTTTCCCTTCAGTTTGTATAATTAAATATACAAGTACTAATTTTGAAGGGCCCCTGGACAGTTTGGACCAGCTGCCCCATCTATCACTGTTTGTATAAGTAGCAAAAGAAAATCAAGTAATTATAATTTTTACACATCAGCTGTTAAGTTTTATTGTGGAAAGGTGAAACTAGAAAATACTGAGATAGTAATAATTAGTTATAATGTACTGGTGCTGTATAGGTATCAAATATTTTCACGTGCCTTGTTGCACTAATAATCTACGATTTATATGGTTATTCTCAATACCAGTGTTTATACTCTAAAAGACTTCTAAAAAACATTTAAGTATTTTTACAAAAAAAAAGAGATAGCATGTATAAACTGTTAAAACCCAAATATCTCATTTGAAATTGTAGTTTTTTTTAGTTATTAAAGAATGATGACCATTTAAGTGCTTTGTTTACATTGTGGCTTACAGTTGCTTCATTTTACATCTTTTGTTACAACATAATGTCTGTTGTTGCTTTAAAAGGTACTCCTTTTTCAGCCAGATGTAATGCATAAAGTGACAAAATCCCTTAATTCTCATTAAGTGGGAAACTTACGACAAATAATATGACCTCAAACTGTTTAGTGGATCTAAAGTTGCAAAATACGGTGGCAGGATGAGGTAAATCTTTCAAAATTAAGTAAACCAATTTTTTAGTCCGCCACATATTCAACGATCAAAGCTTGTGTTCTGTTCTTTTCTTTACATTTTTAGAATTGATGTTGTAATGGTAGAATGTTTATCTTCTGGTTAAAAGCTGCTTTTTTTGATTAATGACAAGGAACCCCGTTTCGTTTTTATTATTATTTGTCTCTTTTATCCCATTTCAATAGTTCAAATGGCTAAGTACTGGGTTTATTAACCCTCTCTATGTGAACATCCTTTACTGCGCATGTCACAGGGTTTTTAGTGACTTACATTCAAAATGTAATTAAACTAATTTTTATTTATACCAATTAGTATAGCATAAAATTATAGCTAATAATCCATATTTTAATAGTATACAAGTTAATTTTGTAAGGCAACATTAAAAAAATTCTGAATTTCCCTAGTGTGAGAAATGTGACATTTTTTTTCTCTAGGTATCCCCTCTTCTCTAATTTATTCACCACCCTTCCAATAAGTATCAATCTTGATAAAAGAGTTAGCACAAAAGATCACATATAAAGTGTAATAGACTTAAA